GGAGTGCGTCATCGGTGTGTCGAGGTGAGGTGGAGGTGAGGGATTATCGACCTGACTAATAATGCCTCCTGCAACGGATGAAATTAAATGCAATAAATATTATCCTCTGTGTCAGGATGATTGACTCCTATTTCAAGTTCAACAGCATCACCATAATGCATGATGTGGCCAAATAGATTTAAAATACGATGTAAACAGGAAATGAGATAAAAATACAGTAAACTGCTTTAAAGTATGATAAACAGAGGGTAAATCTGAACCTGCTGGGGTAAAATGTCATCAAAGGGATAAGAAAGAAGCAAATCAATTATTCAGGTAAACAAGTTACAGTGTATTGTTTTTATTGACTTTTTCTAATACCTGCAAGAAGATGTATCCGATAAATGATTGATATCAACTGTGGAATACTGACTTTACAATACAATGATTTTGTGTTATAATTCCAAAATACATTTAATCTCTCAATAATAATTAATTCATTTATAGGCTACTGTACATTGTGACTAATATACCTAACTATACTACACATTCTACGCATATTACCACACTTAAAAATAGCAATATTATTAGAAACACTGATTTGATATGTTGTAGCCTCTTTTATTTAATTTTTCAAGGTTTATTGTTGTTATTCATCTAATGTAGCCTAGTTTACATTTGTATCTCAATTGGTTATGTTTCTTATAATTTGTCAATGGTGATATGTCGATTCTATTCAAGAGAATGGTAGCAATAACACTAACAGTAAAGCAGTAAAGAGCACCTTCAAATCTATAACATTAAGGGAAAATAAGGTTTTACTCAGCTAGATTAAGCATATAACTCAAACAAATATTATCTTGAAACGAGCAGGACACAGAACCGCGAACAGTCCAGTTGATGGCGCTACACATAGACATAGCTTTGCATCCACCATTGAAGAAGAAGAAGAAGAAGTAGAGGTAGAGGCTGACCATCCTTCTCCACTGCACTATTCGTGGTTTTGTTTATAAGTATGCTTTCTCATAGATTAAATCTTATGTTGTAAAAACATACCAGATATTAATCTCTGTCTGTTCAACGAGGTAAGTTATCGAGACAGTCGCAGTATGCTAACAACTAGCTAATGTTGTTAGCATACAGTGCTAACATGCTAACCAGTGCATGATTTGCTGCTACCTGTTCACTATACTTAATTTATACACTAAACCTTGATATGGAAGAAGTCAGTTATTTATTGGACAGGAAAGGGCACAAGACAGGTTTCTACCAGCTGCCTGTTAATATATTTTGCAGCACTTTAGTTAAGATATTTACTTACAGTACATGAATGTTATTGAGGCTGGTTTACAACTCTGTTGGTCAGTGTGTTTTGATTTTGAACCTCATCCACTGCCACTAAGCTACATTTGCTTAAATACAAGTTAGGTACTAACTACTTTATTGGAATACTTCTATGCCTCTTTATACTTCTATTCTTCATGTTACAGGAAATACTGTAGGTTTTACTCAACAGCTAATTTTGAAACCTCGTTTTCTCTGCATAGCATTACTGACACATTATGACATGTGTTTCAGTGAATTAAGTTATTAAAGTTAATTGGAAATGCAGCCTAATAATAGTAACTCTCTAATATATGAGTATGAAAGGGGACATTCTCCATAACAAACATGTTTACTTGTGTAACCCTAGTGCATTTGTTATTATACTTTCACTTTTAATAGTGGAATAGTATTACTCTAAACACAGTTTCTGAATGCCCACTTCAAATCTGACTGATTCAGTCATTATTGAAGTAAACAGTGACATATTTCATTATTTTTCTTTATTTAACCAGAAAGGTCCTATTTAGAAACACTTTTTTCTGCCAGGGACACAACAGCATACTCAAAATATAGAAACATCAGAGACTAAAAGAAGCCAGATAAGTTATGACACTTGTTTATAGCAACAACATTGTCTAACAACTGTGTTAAGCAATTGTTGAACATGTCAAGAGAGGTTAAGGATTGTAAGTGTTAATCTTTTGGAGCAATTTATCATGAAACCCACCTCATCTCTGCAGGGCTGTCTGAGTGGTGTCAGTTAAACGCTGCACACGATGACCACAGAGCCTGCCAGTCTGGAGAGCCTGGGGGTGCTGTTCCAGAGCGATGACTTCATCGTGGTGGACAAGCACTGGGACATCCGCATCGACAGCAAGATGTGGTACGAGAAACACACCGTGCAGGCACAGCTGCGGCACCGCTTCCCTCAGCTGGCAGACCCCAGCACCTACTATGGATTCAGGTGGGAATCACACTCTGACTAACAACATCATGTCACATACATCAAGTTCATAAAGTTATACTCATGTTTTTCTCCACCCTACAGGTTCTGTCATCAGTTGGATTTCTCCACAAGTGGGGCTCTTTGTGTGGCGCTCAATAAAGCGGCTGCCGGCCGGGCTTACCGCTGCTTCAAGGACCGAACCGTCACCAAGGCCTACCTCGCCCTTGTAGGGAAACTCAGTTACACACATTTACAGAGATATAGGCATACAAACATCAGATTTTTTTGTGTGACTACATAGAACATATTTGGTTTCTTAGGTACGTGGATTGGTGGAAAAAGAGACACAAACTCTGGAATTCTCCATTGGCAAGAATTCTTCAGAGGGAAAAACCCACATGATGTGTATCGAGGGAACAGAAGGTTGGTGTGTTTCAGCTCCAATAGAAGACAACTAATTTATTCTTCAAAGTTTGTGATTTTCTGAGAGAATTTGATTGGAAGATATTAACAGACTATTTATTTAGTTTTCGATTCCTTTTCATTCTCCTGTCAGGTTGTGAGAACCCAAAGCCTTGCCAAACTGAGCTGACGGTGTTGGAGTACGGGTTATATGATGGAGGCCCCGTCACAAAGGTCCTGCTGCAGCCGCTCACTGGTAACACTCATTTGGTCTTTTCATATTAGGGACATTTGAATTTCTTCTCTACTATATGAACATTGCTAGAGAAAGTGTACATTGCCATACAATTTGTCAGGTTTCTTTCAGGTGTTGCATTGCAAATAAAGACATTAAGGACAACAGGCTGTATTTAAATCTAACAATTATATAATTTAATTAAATCTTGCCTGGCATTGTGATGACGTTTTGAGGTATTGGATGCAGCTCACCTCAGGTTAAACAGCTTCATCAAACATTAAAAGCCACATCAACCGAATTAAAAGTAGATTGACATTGATTTAAAAGATAAGTAAACCATATCAATCATTGATTAATCAAGCATACTTATGTAAATTATTGTTAAACAATTGCACAAATTTAGCATCTTTCTCTCTATTCTTATTAAAACATACCTAAGTGAAGGATTACATAGATGTATTTTCTTGACATGTCTATTATATAAAAATGCTTTGGTCCCACTGTTACATGTTTTTCTTTCTGCCCGACTCCACCACTTGTTTTTTCCCCCTAGGCCGGACCCACCAGTTGAGGGTCCACTGCAGCGCTATAGGCCACCCCATCGTCGGGGACTTCACCTACAGCTCTGGAGCAGACGACGCCCCGTACCGCATGATGCTGCACGCCCACTTCCTGCACATTCCCCTGGAACCTGAGCCCCTGCTCGTCTCGGGTGAAGACCCCTTTCTCCCTGCGCTGGATCCAAAATGGCTCCCGCAGCGCTCTTTACGGACACTGACGACCACTGTGGAGGCGCTGCTGGAGCGGAGATTAGAGGAGGACAGGAAGATCAAAGAGGAGAAGAGAGAGAGGGCGAGAAAGGAGGAGGAGAGAAGGAAAGGACGCAAGGAACGAAGGACTAAGGAGGAGATTGAGGAGCAGACGAGGCAGTGTCAGGAGTGGCTGAGCGAATGGGCTGGAGACTGATGTGTTATTTATTATTTATTTTTATTGTTTACCAATGAAGGCCACGTTCAGCATGCAAGCTCAATCTCACTGCTTTCAGTGCTAAGGTTAGCAATAGCCACTGAGCCGGGGCATCGTAGCTGAGAAAAAGTGCCTTCCTCAAGTTCCTGTTGCTAAGTGAGGGATGGGGTTGCTGACATATCTTTTTCATATGCAGGAAAAAGAGTATGACTGTAATACATTGCTGATATCTTCTCTGGGCTATGTATGAAATCGTTTTTTGCCAGAGTCCCAGTGTTGGTAAGTTCCTGTGTTGTCACCCACCCTGCATGGCTGTAACATCCATTGAATCCCAAGTAAAACTATGATCCATGAGTGCAATCCTTTTTTCTTTGTTGTTGTTTGATCATTGTTTTACAGCTTTAAATCAATGTGCCAAGGTTTAAACCAAGTTTTACAAATCAATCCAGGATCAGTAATGATACAAAGAAGCCTAATAAATGCTTTTGCAAGAACTCGGCCACCTCTAAATCATAACTTTTCCAGCAAATTGTTTTGGAATTCACATTCAATCATCACACATGTACACAGCATCGCACACAGAGAAATGTAGACTGCCTTCAACCTGCAAGGTAGCACATTGAAGCCAACAGCGTCAGGGCAAATTCCAGTAACCCTAATTCCAGTCTAGTGCCTTAATCTGGGTCACTTGAACAGTTCCCAGGAGGCGAACTGGAGCCTCTCCCAGTACCAGGCGACCCTCCAATTCCCAAGCCAAGTCATTGCAGACTGAGCTACTTTGCCGCCCAAAAGCTAAAGGAATCTATATTTTTTTTTAAAGAGCATGATACCTTGAATGCAGATCAAATGTCAAGAACGTTTTAGTTATAAAAGAACAGTCCTTTGTGTCATTCTTGCAAAAATGACGAAAAGGAATACTCAAAACTAAAAAAGCAAAGTCAAAGCAAAGCACTTCTATTAGGACATTATTCATGCTTTGGTAGATCTTTCACAAATAAAGTGTAAAATAACAAAGAATATAATGTTCTCCTGTTTAAAACTATAGGCTGTATAAAATATGGACATATTCTCCGTGGTTGAAACGAACGCCAAAGGTGGCATGGCGAGAACTACATTACCCATAATGCCCCAGGCTCTGTAGAAAAACGTCTACAAGGAAGCGATGCACTTCAACCGACTTCAACACACCATAACAGTGAGGGCATTACAGCTGTTAAGATTCATATACTGCGGTTTTAAAAAGGGGAAATTGGGTATACTTTGAGCGAGGGAAAAGTTGAATATATAATATACATTTTTAACCTTGTTCAAGATGAGCAACTCGGTGTTTTCGTACGAGAATTTGGTCCATGCTGTATCAGGAGCAGTGGTAAGTTAGCTTTACTTTCAGTATCAATTTCTGTTGTTGTGATTGTGTCTTTATCATATAAACAGTCTATGGTAGCTATATTTGCTCACACGCTTTAAAATAATCTGCACCAAACTCCATTCAAAGTTTAACATGTCGCAATGTTTTAGACCTGATGGAATTTTACAGTGTTTTAGAATATTAGAAAAATACAAGTGCTTTGATATTATTGTTTTGTGCTATACTTGCTTTTAAATAACGAGATTTTATAATGAAGTTTGACTCAAGATTCCTTCTATATTAAACAAAATGAGCTCTGTTTATCTCTCCCATGAAAACTGCCTGCCTGTTTTAGGGAAGTGTGACTGCCATGACAGTGTTCTTCCCTCTTGATACTGCCAGACTGAGGCTGCAAGGTAACAAACCGTAGTGAAGCAGTCTTATTTAAAGGTATTACAGTTATAAATGTAATGTATATTTTAATACAAGTTGTCTTTGGTGTGTGTTCAGTGGATGACAACAGGAAGGCCAAATCAACGCCAGCCATTCTGGCAGATATTATCAGAGAGGAAGGACTGTGAGTGAAACCATTGTTATTATTTTAATTTTAATCGCTATAACATTTCTTGATTCTACGTCCTAGATTTATCAGATAATGTATGTCATGTGAACATTCACATATCACAAGCACCGCTAATATTACCAGAAAGAAAACACATATGTCCCCTACCGTATATGAGGCTGAACACTTTTAGTTTTTGCCAGTACCTTCTATTAAATGAAATTACTATATATCTTACATGGCACTGTTTATTTGTTTTTTTGTTCTTTTTTATGTTTTTATTATGCTTTAAAATTTCATTTTTGTGTGTGTTTCTCTTGCACTATATCTTAATGCTTTTAATGTTTTTTGAAGCACTTCGAATTCCCGTGTGTTAAAATGTGCAATCTAAATAAATGTGCATAGCCTATAAGACGTGCTCCTGTCCCCACAGACTGGCTCCGTACAGAGGCTGGTTCCCGGTGATCTGCAGCCTGTGCTGCTCCAACTTTGTCTATTTCTACTGCTTCCACAGCCTGAAGGCTAGCTGGCTGAAGGGAAGGCCGTCGGCACCAAGCAATGACCTAATGATAGGCATCGCTGCAGGTCAGAGGGTCATGTCTATCACAAGAGCCTGTTTTCAGTGTTTAGGGACAATGAAGATTTTTTGTCATCATACAGATTACAAGTACCGGGACAACGAAATTCAGTTTTCATCTATTCAGAATTGCAAAAAAAGTGCAGTGTAATGTATAAGTATATATGCAAAACATAAAAAAGCTTAAGAATGTACTGTACAGTAAGGACAGGGTATGAAGAACATGGACATAAACAATATAAGAAGTAGTATACACATTGAATACACAATAGAGTTGGTACAAATAAATACAGTATAATACGAAACACTATAGACCGTTATTGACACTTTTATAAATTAAATTCTCAGATTTGATTTATTTCTTAATGACATGTCTTGATTTAATCTGCTGTTTTTTGTCTCTAGGTGTTGTAAACGTACTGGTCACGACTCCTCTGTGGGTTGTCAACACCAGACTGAAGCTTCAGGGATCAAAGTTTCGCAACGCAGACATACGGCCCACCAACTACTCTGGCATTCTGGGTAAATAGTTATTATCAAAATCACGTTTGTTGCCAAGTAGGTCTACAAATACAAGGAATTTGCTTTGGTGTATAATGGTGCATACATGAAAACAGTTGGGGGAATTCCTTTGTAAAAAAAGGAGCAAATATAAAACTATTGTAAAAAATATTATTATAAAATTAAAGAAATAAGAAAAAATGCTAACAAATAATAAAAAGGTAAAATAATAAAATCACAATTTACTGAAAAAAATGAAATGTTTAGTATATTGGGATTTAAAGTATAAAAGCTGTGCACTTTTAAAAGTCTTAGAGTTTTTCTCAGCTTATATCCCTTCAGTTTGTGACATTTACTCCCAAACATGGGTGCAATCACGGTTATGACTTCTCTCTCCATTTTTTTTGTTTTGTTGCAATCATAGTTGATCTGCTCTGTTGTGTTTCGAAGATGCGTTTGCACAGATCATCCGAGATGAGGGAGGGGGAGCGCTGTGGAACGGGACCTTCCCCTCGCTGCTGCTGGTGATGAACCCCGCCATCCAGTTCATGATCTACGAGGGTCTGAAGAGGCAGCTGAGGAGAGGGGTTCCCAGGGAGGTGAGTCAGGGACTAGGGAGATTCAAATGTTTTAAGGACAGGGAAGATCAGTGCTGGAGTCATAGCAGTATTTTAGAAGAAAGGAATAATGGATAGGAAAGTGCCGATGAAGTGAGAAGATGTTTCATCACAACGTTTCTACAAGAGATTTTCACAATTTTTGCGATCAATGACAAATAAATTGCATTGTCATTTCATATTCATTTTCAAGTGTATCGTAAAATGTTATGCTAATATCGATGATTGTGAGAAAATATATATTTAGCTTTACCCTTTTAATATTCATACAGTTGGCAGTGATGTGTTATACTTTGTTATTTAGTAGTTGTGACTTAGTTGTGACTATTTAAAGGTACTGGGTAAGAAAATAAACTTTAACAATTGAATGTCTGTAGTGTAGATACAACATGAGAGCACATTTTGAACTTCACAAACATATCCACCAAGCCCAAAATATGATAAACAAGAGTTCTATTGATCAAAAAACTGCGCTGAATATATTATTATTATATTAATAATGGAGGAACACTACAGGTAAACAGAAGTGCCACATCATGGTTACAAAATAAGGATGGTCTTGTTAACGAATGGGAAAGTAAAGGTTACTTCAGGTCATCCCATCATCCGGATGAGTACACACTTGATATGCAGTAATTCTGTTCACATGATCTTTGTGTGGCTTAAGCAGACAAATAGATTAACAAGTATATAAATACTATGGTATGAAAGCACTCCATTACAAGTAAAAGTCCTCAAATGTTTTGTCCACACCTGACTTTTTTCTTCCCCCCCCCCACTTAAGCTGTCATCTGTTGAGGTCTTCCTCATCGGAGCTGTTGCTAAAGCAGCTGCCACCATTGTGACCTACCCACTGCAGACCATACAGTCCATTCTCAGGGTGAGCTGTGTTTATTCAAAATGTTTATACCTGTTGCTCTTTTCTACACAAAACACTTTTCAGCCTTATATAATTTTTTTCTTCCTCAGAATGCTCTCTAAGATGCTGTGATCACAATCACTCAGTTTTACACATTGTAACTCTTTGATTGTTTTCCTTCTTCTAAATCACTACAGTTTGGTCAGTTCAACGAGTCGACGGGCGAGTCAAAACTACTGGCAAGTCTACGGACTATCAAGTGTCTGTTGATCAACAGAGTGAGGTGGGTACACACACACACACACACACACACACACACACACACACACACACACACACACACACACACACACACACACACACACACACCAGGCCACTCTTTTGGCTTAATTTTTGGCAACATAATGTACATTACTGTATATTTTAAATACTGGGTATATTATCATTAACTTACTGCCTTATAACATACAATGTTTTTTTATAAGTACAAAGAAGTTCATAACTATTACTTACTGTGGGATAAAAAGTACAGTTTTTGCATCCAAAATGAATAGAATTATGTGTAGGATATATATAACGGAAAAAATACTTTAACTTGAGTAAAAGTACTTTGTGACATTGCACTACTAAGCCACAGAGTCCATATGGGTAAACACCACACGAACACATGGTCACATGATCACTGAAACATTGTCTAATTAACTATTGTATTTATAATTACATCCATAATAATGCATCTTTCTTTGATGTTTGTGCATGCAGAAAGATAAACATCATACATCTCAAGACCTCTAGTTTTTCACATTGTATCCCTGGTTTCCTTCTTTAGGAAGTTTGGCATGGTGGGTCTGTTCAAAGGCCTGGAGGCCAAGCTGCTGCAGACGGTGCTGACGGCTGCCCTCATGTTCCTTCTCTATGAGAAGATCGCCAGCAGAACCTTCAAAATGATGGGACTGAGCAGAAACCACTACAAGAAACACTAGATATCTATATGGACTTTAACTTTATGAAAGCACCGACAGTCTGTCACAGCTCCCAGACTCTGTGTGTGTGATGGGGAGTTCCTCTCTGATCGGACGTTTTTGAATGACATGAAGAAGTTAAGAGATTAAAAATAACTTGAGATTTTAAAGATGCACCTCCTGTCTTTTTGTCAAATTCGGTTGACCTAGAAAATATGAACTTAAATCGTAGCATACAGAATTGAAAAGAGGGGAAACAGAACCCTAACTTGATTCAAGGTATGAGAATTAAGTATTTGTTGTTGCAGACAAGATGTTAAATTGAATAAGTTTCGCAGATCATGCAGGTAAGTCAAAATAAGTTAACATTAACAGTCATTTCACACCGGACACAAATAGAAAGTCCTTTTTGTCTGGCCTTGAATAAGAAACAAGGAAGTCAGACAAACAGGTTTTTTTGGATCGTTATTACGTTGTCCCATTACATGTCATCAGTTTCTCGCTTAGCCTGTTTTTGTGCATGCAGGACAAGTGTTTCAAAAGAGACATCTTACAGGTGGTTTGAATTGCCTTTATAAAAGATACATGATACTCAATATGACACTAATATTTGAGGATGTAGTAATTGATAATTCATGCAATATGGATGTAACGATACCAAAAACTCACGGTACGATAATATCGCAATAAAAAGTCCATGGTACGATATTTATCGTGATATTGAAAAATAAAGGAAAAAATGTGAATTTTTAAAAAAAAATTAATTTCTTTATTAAATAATGAATCTGATTTGTACAGCATTTTAGTAGGATAGTAGTATTTTAAAGTGTCAACAATCATACCCTGCAATAGAATAAATAAAGTTTCACTTTAGTTTTTCAAGTAACTCAACTCTAACTAACACTCACTCACTCAGCATCATCAAGGTTATCTTTTAGGAATATGAGCATTTCCACATTTCCAGGTAGAAGCTGGGATGTTTGGGTGTTTACAATATCACCTGCTGTTGAAAAAACTCTCTTGCTTGGTACTGATGTTGCTGGGACAGAGAGATATGCTTTGGGCAGTGGGTAAAACTGTGCATTGTCTCTCCACCGCTTAAAAAACAATACAGTTTTTGCCAAGAAGGTGTGGCTTATTGACAGGGCGAGATATAAATATACTTTTGTAACTTGTCAATGTCTCTAGCTATGTACATGTAGCCCTGTAAATACGATGTCCTTTTGTGTTATCTGTTGTTTTATGTTCATGTTGTAACCATGTTGGACAGGTCTCCCTTGAAAAAGATATCGATGATCTCAATGGGACCATCTGGTTAAATAAAGGTTTAAAAAAATATATATATTAAAAAAATATATATTTAAAACATTTTTTTTTAAATCGCAGTAGATTTTGTCAGTCTCACGACGGTATTGAGAGATCTATTTACCGCGATATCGCGATATATTGTTGCATCCCTACACATGAAGTAAATTAGGACTCAAAGTAATGACTGTTTAGCAGGGGCGGACTGGCCACTGGAAAAAAATGTTAATATATAACTAAAAGTCCTTGTAAGACAGCTCCATTTGACAGACAGGTAAAGAAAAGATGGAAGAGGAGGAAAATAGCCTCTCTTTATCCACTCCAGTCAATTTTGATGTCAAAGCCCCACTCCCAGCTCAAGTAGACATTTTTATCATCGTCAGAGAACGAGGACTTGACCTGATATCGGCCTCGTGCCATCTTGCCTTTTGGGGCCTCATCATCCGGGGTTAGACACTCTTGCTCCTCTTCCTTTGGGCAGTCATTTCCCACCATGTAAGTCTGTTTGTCCACTGCAGGAAGACACAAAATGAACACTTGACCAACCAATAAATAAACAAGTTGTACAAAGCTGTGGATTCAGGAAGAGCTGTGTGACGTCTGATAAATTGCCTCAAGTGAAGTCATTGGGTTGGGGAGTGGGTTTGGAAGGAAAGAAAGCTAACCACACCGCTGGTGCTTTTTTATTTTCAATACAAAAGCTGACAAATATATGAATTGTGTGAAAGAGACCCTATTATGCTACATTTCAGGTTGATATTTGTATTTTGAGCCTCTCCTGTGACATGTTTACATGGTTTATTGTTCAAAACATTGTTTAAACAACAGTTAATTTCATTTACACTAAATTGAACTTACCATTTATTCCTTTTCTCCTGATCACTGATCAGGCCAGATGCAATTTCTCTGTTCACCTGCAGACACACAGTTTCATCAAATCTCCAAAGCTTTTCTTTCTGTTACTGACAACAGGGGCACCTCGAAGTAGGCAGATTACCTGGAGTAACACTGTTGTATCATTATGGGCTCTGTTAGTCTTCAATGACTTGAAGTCCCTATAGTTAAGCCTAAAACAGACACCACATTTATTTGTTGGTGGATATAGAGCTCTTTAATGAGCCATTTGTTTGTATTATTATTGCAGTTTTTGAGGTACAACACAAACTGAGGATGTGTTATCCAAACATTTGACCTGATAATGCTAAAGGGAATCTTCTGGGACACATCAAGTGATTCATCCTGAAGAAAAACATAAAAGTCTAAGGGGAATTTCAAGGCAATCCATCCAATATATGAATCATTTAACGAGAAACACAAATGTAAACCTCTTGGTGGTGCTAGGGACATATACTCTGCATGGTTAATCCTCTAGGGACCTTGGCTTACTCAGCAGGGTCTCCTTTCTCTCTCTTCTATCCATCTTACCTTGAAGTCTATCTTTATTCTGAAACACGCTTCTTCGTTGAAGGTCTGATTGCTCAGCTCTGCACAAACAACAACAAACATCAGTCATGGTCAACATCACGCGTATGGGTCATCACCTGCTACAGCATCTCAACTTGATCAAACTGCTGCTGATTTAATACTTTCCAAAAAGCACAAATGCATTAGAAATAACTATCTGGAGAAATAACTCATTTTCACCCCCAAATCATAATAGGGCCCCTTTAACACTCTGCTCATGACAAGTTGACAAATGTTCATGTGCATAATATGCAGAGTGGCCCTTCTAACTCCAATTTCCCACTTTGTAATTGAGTCTTTCTGCACACGTGCACACACACACACACACACACACACACACACACACACACACACACAATCTCCCATAGGTTTAGAAACCACTTGTAAATGTCCCTGTTTTGGAAATAATTTCTGCTACATCCACAACTAGCCAGAGTTTAGGTAGAAAGCAACACCACAAAGAGAAGACTGAACAGATGTGTTGTGTACCTGTCAGGTCTATGATCATGGGTAGAGGAACCTCGTCACTCAGCAGGGTCATTCTGATCACCTGGACATTTGGCTCACCACTAACTAGAGAGAGAAATTGTCCATTTCTTACAGCACTCTTACACTTTATTCGCTCATTATATACAGGAATCCTCTTTATGTTCTCATGTCTGTCCAGGTCAATATTTCTTACTAAACTGTACGCTATAAATGCCTATTTAAAAAAAATTAAACAATACATGTTTTATATTTTATCCACACAGTATGTAAGCAATACACTAGGGCTGCGTGGATACAAAGAGTCTAAACAGTGTCAACCTACTCATGAAGACGTTTGTTTCTGATCAAAGTTGGTTAGGGACGTGGCTCTGGTAAACTTTTTTCCTAATTGATTCTTAGTTTGGGTAAATAGAAGCCCTTTTTTACTAGAACATTGACTCTGTGTTTGATTGTTGCACCACCAGTTTTCTCTTTTGCCGGCCAGGTCCTGGTACAAGACCCATCCCTTTGTTGCCACAGGTCACACTTCTCCCCTGCTGTAAAAACAGGTTGGAAAGGATAGTTGTTTTTTTTCTGTTTGGTTCCAATCAAAGCAAGTCTTTCAGCTAAAAGTATCAAAGATTCCCAATTCTGTAAACAAGATATACTCGACAAAGTAGAAACTGATACAACCAGTCGTCGGAAGTAAGTTTACTCAAGACTGTACTTTAGTTTACATTTGAGATACTTGTACTTCACGTATTTCATTTTAGACTACTTTAAACCACATTTGTACTTTTTACTCCACTGTTTTACAGATTTATATACTTTATAAATTCAGATTTTGACAGACAATACTAGAACTAAAAGCCATGAATGGCTTAAAATAAATGTAACTGGAAACTGTTTTTACAGAAATTAAGTGTCTTTTAAAAAAACTCTTTGACAGTTTTGAGAGAACCAGCAAACTGAAGGTGAAAGAGAAATGGATGCAATTTTGGTTTCACAGTTCATAAGATCTTCCCAAAAGTTGCATCATGAATATATAAATCAAAATACTTGCTGACAGACAGATGATGCTGAATATTACCATTAATATGCACTACTAATGCTACAAACATAAAGCATGAACAACATTGTATTTCTACTGGCAGGTTACAGATGTATCACTGACTGCAAGTGACTTAGCTGCATTGAATTCAACTCAATCAATCAATGTTTATTTATATAGCCCAATATCACAAATGTTACATTTGTCTCAGTGGACTTCACAGTTTGTACAGAATATCAGTATGACAATACGACACCCTCTGTCCTTAGACCCTCACATCGTACAAGGAAAAACTTCCAGAGAAAACCCAT